TACTTATAAAGGATGATCCCTTATAAAGTATGGAGTACAGTTTATATTTTTTAAAATTTAAAAAATAAAAAAAGAACAACAAAATGAAACATACCTCACCATCAACAGCAACAACTATAACAGAACAATGACAACAAAAAGCCCAACAAACCCTTTAATAGAAGTATCAATGGTATATTTAATAGGCAATGGGCCAATCTAGCTGTGTGTGCCACAAACAGGGATATTTACTATAAAATATCTCCTTACCTATTCTAAAATTCCATAACCTAAGTCAGAGCCAGCTAATTAATCCAAACTATAAAGATTACCTGAATAAAAGCAATCCCTTTGGGTAACAACTCCCAGAGAATATCCTGCAGTTGCCTCGGTCCAGCTGAGCATCCCTTCCACTAGAGGGCCATGTGACACCTAAGGATTGCCTAGATAAAAAGATTGAGGGAGCTTTAAAAAATCTTTCAACTACTTCTCTAGTCATCTGACTATTTTTGTATAGTCCTTTTATTCATCTGGCAAAATAAACAATTAGTTTGAAGAAATATACTAAAACCAGGATTCCAAATAAAGTCTATTTGATCACTCCATGTGTCAGCCAGAATAATAAATAACAATAACAACAACAAGAATCTACATGGAGTATTTATTGAGTATGTAACTGGTAGTAAAATAAATACTTCAAGAGTTTTGGTTAGAAACATTATGGCTAAGATAGAAGATCAATTAAAGTTTTGCCTAAGTGAGGTTGAATTCACTGTCAAAACTAAGGAAAATTTTCCTTGGAGATCATCTAGGTCAGGCACTTAAGTAATGAAAACTGTTTTATGAAAACAGTTTCTTACTTCATTTCAAGAAACCATGTAAAAGTCTATTTCAAAATATTAGTAACAGAGCTCAATAATTTTACTTTCTGCACAAGTTAAGTTTGTCTTCTCATAATGTTATAAATAAAAGATTATTAAGTATGTGGGTAGCACTTTTAGAGATTAATTGTGCCCCCAAAACTCAGTTCATCAAGTTATTTTTAAAAATTCACAAATGAGATGCTACCATAAAAAGGTATTCTTTCCATGGCTGTAATTTTTTTTTCTCTTAATATCCCAAATAACTATTTTTGTTGTTGTTACTTAACAAAAAAGATTTGGGCTTATTCTATGTTCCCATTATCTAGGGCAGTGATTCTTAACTTCTTTTGAGTCATATCTGATGAAAGTCACTGATCATCTCCCACAGAAAAGTGCCGATATATGCAACTTATTTTTAAAAAACAATTTCAAGAGTCTATGGACTCAGCCCTCAACCAAAATCCACGAGTACATCCCAGTTTAAAAATTTCTAGTCTTGGGTATATGTCAATACCTGATCCTTCTAAGGAGTTCCTATGTGCAAAGAGTTAATGAGCTCAGCAGCTAAATGAAAGGCTAGAGATTTGAGTCTGCTCAGAGGTGCCTAGAAAGAAAGACCTGGTGATCTGCTTTAGAAAAACCAGAAATTGAAAACACTATGAAGCCATGATTCTACTCTGACACATATGGTGTTGCCATGAGTTGGAGTCAAGGGCAACTGATTTGGATCCTTCTAAAGATCAAAGCAACCATCTTAAAGCTACCTACTGCTAAATGCCAATTGCCTTCAAAAAAAGTTCTGTCTTATGTTGATAAAAAAGAATCCTTTGTTTATAAAAGAATCGAATTCCTTACCTGAATAATAACTCATTTACAAGGGGTAACTCTCTAGTTAATATTAAAAGATAGATTTTTAAGAAACTTAAGTTTAATCTTATTTAGAAGATAGCCATTTTAGAAAAAGCAGGATCAGTTAATAGACAGGCCTGGAAACCTGTTTCTGAAAGCTCTATGGAGTAGTTCTACTCTGCACACATCAGGTTGCCATGAATTGGAATCAACTCGACCTCAACAAACAAAAACAAGAGTTTTGCAACAATTATAACACAAAATATCATTAATGCGTGGGGTTGCCAAGAGTCAGAATCAGTTTTTTTGTTTTTCTCTTTCCTAAGCCTTAAATTGAAAAACGGTATAAAAAAGCTTTCATTGTTACATTACTAGAAAAAGAATCTAGTTTGTTTTTCTTTAATTTTTACCTGTGAAAATTGGCAGTTCTTTAAGTTTACTTAATTAGTTTGATATTCCAGGTAAATACCATTTCAAATTAAATATGACCGATACAAAGCCATTCCTATTACCCTCCCCCAAAAAAGTATTTCTCCTTCCATATTCACAACCTCAATATATTTTATCACAAGCCATTTAGTTACTCAAACCAAAAACCTAAATCATCAATGATACTTTCTTTCATCCCCATATCTAACCTATCCATTTCTACTCTAAAATATCATCTCAGAAATCTATTCATTTCTATCCATATTTACTTGTACTACCTTAGCCTAAGCGACCATCATCACTTGTCTGATTTTTTCAATAGCCTAACTGATCTCCATTCCCTTCTTTTATTTTCAATGCATTTTCCATACAGCAACCAAAAATAATTTTTTAAAAATATTTTAAACAAAAAGCAGATCATAGAGCCAAGCTAATAAATCCTTCCAACTGTTTCCCACAAATAAGAATACAATTAAAGATCCTTATCTATCCTTACATGATGTGACACCTGCCTCACAGTAACTTCACCCCCTTGCTCACTACACTCCAGGTCCTTATATCTGCCTCCATCATGGCAAGCTTATTTGTGTCGAGGCTCTTACATTTGTACATTCCTTCATGTGGAAAGTTTTCCCCACATATCTTTGCCTAACTGATGCCTCCTCATCATACAAATCTTGAAGCAAATGTCCTCGCCTCAGAGAGGCATTCCCAAATAACTGTCATCTGATTGGTCCTAGCCCTCATCGTTCTATCATTATTTGCCTGTGGTTTTTTTTTTTTTTTCTTTTTCCCATTTACTTATTGTCTACTTCCTCAGTAGAACGTATGTTCTGAAAGAATATGGACCCTAACTGTCTTGAGCATTGCTGACTCTCTCTAGCACTGAACAAAATATTTGTTGAATGAATGACTGATTTCCATCAGAAGGTAACTAGATTTAAGCATATTGGGAATGCCAGATTCCAGTGGAAAATTCACCTGATACTTATTTCATCCTTTCAGCTAAGTTACATAAAAAAGGCATTTTAAACAAAAATCTATTTCTTTTCCAGGATGAACGAAAAAAGGAGCCCTGGTGGTACAGTGGTTAAAGCGCGCAGCTACGAACTGAAAGGTCAATGGTTCAAACACACTTTCTGTTCTGTGGGAGAAAGATGTGGCAGTCTGCTTCCATAAGTATTACAGCCTTGGAAACCCTATGGGGCAGTTCTACTCTGTCCTATATAGTCACTATGAGTCAGAATCGACTAAATGGAAGCAAGTTTTTGGATGGATGAAAAGATAACTTTCCTCCCCAAAAGTATAAATGTTCCCTAAGTGATTAAAGCAACTCCTTAAATCTTATTTTCTTTCAAAATTATGTTAGGAAGTTATTCCAGAAGGTAACCAGAAAACCAAACTCACTGCCGTCAAGTCACATCTGACTCACAGCAACCCCTCCTTGGGTTTCCGAGGCAGTAACACTATGGAAGTAGATTGCCAAGCCTTCCTTCCAAGGAGTGGCTGGTGGGTTTGAATCGCCAGCCTTCAAGTTAGCAGTCAAATAGCTTAGGCACTGCACCACCAAAGCTCCTGCAGAAGATGCTAGGGAATCAAATTTTAAATAATTTTTGTCAACAGCCAACCAAGAGTGTTATGTGTCAACTTGAGGAAGTAGACAGAAAAATTACAGCACTAATGAAAAGAATGTGACTAGGAAAACAAACAAACAAACAAACATGAATTTAAATAAAAGTTCTACAGGCAAAATAATAAGTTTGGTTATCTGACACTCGATAGACTCTGGAAGGTATACAGAATATGAACTATACTAGTTAAAGAAGATGTATTCCAGTTTATCCTATCTTGGTACTCAAGCTTACAAAACATTAATAATACCAGGTTCAAAACCATTTAAGTCATTTCAAACATCTCTTCTCAGACTTTTACCTTTCCAAATTCATTGCCGTCAAGTTGGATCCAACTCATAGAGACCCCTCCTTGGATTTCCAAGGCAGTATCACTACGAAAGTATATTGCCCAATCTTCCTTCCAAGGAGTAGCTGGTGGGTTTGAACTGCCAGCCGCCTTCTGGTTAGCAATCAAATGCCTAAGGCATTATGCCACCAGAGCTCCCAAAACTTGCTATAAATGATTTTTTTCTACTAATATCAAGTTTATGCAATGGTTAATGGTGAGTGCAAATCTTCACTTTTTTTTTTTTAGAAAAATCTTAATTTATAAACTACACACCAAATACTTAAAAAGCATGAGCAAAGAGAAATTTGGTTTCATATAGGTATAAACCCATGTTTCTGAAACCTCTAAAAACAAACACTACTAGTTTCAAGTTCTAGAACTGTGTAGTCGCCTTGTCCTAATTCTTTGGTATTACTGTCATTTCAATATACTGATTATGGTTCTTGGCAGAAAATCTATTGAGAATCACTATGTGCCATAGTGAAACTGGTTCTATTTTTTAATAATACAACATTAACGATCTTGAAATGTATTCCTGGTGTCTGATTATTTTATGACTGGCTCACAAGTGGCAAAGAGAAGGAAAATTACACTT